TCCCTCTCTTTTTAAAAAATAATAGCTAGACTGGTGACTGATTCTTCAGCAAAAGTATTTTATGATCCAGCAGATTATTCACTGATTTGACATAGTCTGGCTGTACCCAGGAATGGAGCCTGCACGGCAAATGGCTTTGTATAGAACCTCTTTGTCTGCACCACTATATGCGTTGATAAGCATTTGTGGAATGCGTTGAAATTGTAATTATATCTGAGGAATTCTGTATAGATTAGAATTCTGTATAGATTAGAGGATGTTGAAATGAATGATTTCTATGCTGAGTTTGTGCTGGTGTATGTGTGAAGTGAGTGAGTTGGGTGTATTGTGCACTAAAATTTTCTGATAGAGGAAGCCTGATTAAAGAGTGGTCCATGCTAAGGACTTGTTAGATCTAGTTCGTCCTCCATTTAATAATTATATGCTATTTCTATATTTTCATTCTTCTATCATCTGTCTTGCCTTTTTCATTATTTTATTATGAAACTTGTGTAAATACAATTTTGTTTCTGTACTTTTTTGGCATAACATAAATCTGTGAACTTGAAATTTGAATTTTGTGTTAGAAATTTTTTTGTTGTTTAGTCTTGTCTCAGATTTTATTATGTAAATCCCATTATTCAAAGTTGCCTAAATCCATTTTGAAATCTTTAAAAAATAAATTGGGGATTCTTAAAGTTGAATTTATTGGCTTTTCTGATCCAGTTTTGTTTGGACCAAAAACCAGTATTGTACAAAGTATTAAGCATATATTTTTATATTTACTGAAATGGACTGTGGTGACTTTGGATAATAAGGAAAAGTTTAATATTAAAGCCATGTTTATTACAGTATAATTAACATGTTAAACCATGGGATAAATGCCATCAATAAAAAATTCGACATAACCTTTTTTGTTCTAGTTTTAACTCATTATGAAGGTGTTACACAGTATTAATGGGAGGGGACTTTTAAAAAATACAGGGCAACAGTGGAACCATTAGCAGATAAATCCCAAGGAATAAATTTAAATAACTTTAGACACTTCTAAGAAAAGGGGAAAACTTCCAGCATATCGAAGGTAGCCTATTTCTCATCTGGCTAGCATTCCTGCCTAATTTGCACATAGATTTACATACTTCTTTTAAAAGTTGAAAATGAACACACACAGCCATTTCTGTTAGTACTTGTTTCTTCCTGGGTAAATGACTAGACATTGTTTATTGATCAAGTTCTTGGAGATAACGTGCCTAAAACAGTTCACAAAAACTGCAGTGGCTCAAGTGGCTAAGGTGCCAGCCACATACACCTGAGGTGGCAGGTTGAATCCAGCCCGGGCCCACCAAAACAACAATTGCAATTTGCTGCAACCAAAAAATAGTTGGGCACTGTGGCAGGCACCTGTGGTCTCAGCTACTTGGGAGGCTGAGGCAGGAGACTCCTTTGAGCCCAGGAGTTGGAGGTTGCTATGAGCTGTGATGCCACAGTACTCTACCCAGGGGGACAGCTTGAGGCTCTGTCTCAAAAA